ACAAAGTGTATGTGAACTGCTGTATGGAAGGTGTATTTGCTCTGTAAATTTTCACCCAAATCCCAATAAAAAGAAAGAAAGAAAAAAAAAAAAAAAACAAAGGGAAGTAAAAGGAGATGTTATCATTGTCTGAGCTGTGCAATGGCCAAAACACTTTGGCTTGTCATCCCCTTGGCCAGGCTACCACATAAAGGAAAATGTGGCCAGGAAAATGAGTATGAGGAGGAAATGAGAAAGAAGGAAAGGATTTGAAGAGGAAACAAAGATCACAGAGAGAGTCTATCAATGGTACGTTCTATTTCACCTTATCCCTTTCAATACTTCTTGGAGTTTGATTTCAGCATCACGACTGGGGTAAAAGTGTATCAGACGCACAGACAGGCAAAGCCACCATCCTTTGCACACCAGCACAGCCCTCTGGTGTGGAAAGAAGAAAAGCTTCTACCTTAGGCCTCACAGAGCAGCCAAGATCAAGCCCAGCCATCCATGCCCATGAAGACAGTCTCTCTGCAGGGAAGTTGGGGGGTCCAGTGATGTCAGCACCCCAGCCTGAAGCTGAACAAAGCCTGGTCTGTTCCGTCCTGAAAACAGGGCCTTTGAGAGGCTCTGAGTGACTCCATTATAAATGTAGCATGCCGTGTGGGATTCATGAGGCTCCAAAGCTCCCCATGGCCCAGACCACCTACATTTAACCTCCCTGTTATTTGGGTTGCTATTTGACTGGACACTGAAACTTTGTTTGGATAAAGTGCAGAAGTAAGAATATGCTGCATGTACCAGCCTGATAAGATTTTTCTTTTGCAAGTCAAAGGAGAAAACTCCCACTTGATTGGCCCCCACTGAGAAAACCACACAATAGTCTTGGGATTACAGTGGGACCAGAGCCAAAACTTACTACCTACAGAAAATTCAGGAGATAGCAGAGATGTCTGTGTCTGAACAGAGACCATTGCTGGTGAATTGCTCAAGGAAACAGTAGTTCTGATCACTGGAAACACACTTTATTTGCCTTGAAATTTGTGAACCTCAAATATCTTCCCCCACTGCCCTATGTCTCACCTCTCTAAAGTGCTCAATGTTGTCTTAAAGAAATATTGATGTTGCATCTTGAGCTATGTCTGACCTATACCAAAAAACAAACCAAACCCACTGCCATCAAGTTGATTCTGACTCGTAGTGACCCCCACTGGGTTTCTGAGGCAGTAAATCTTTACAGAAGTAGATTGCCCAGTCTTTCTTCTGCAGAGTGGCTGATGGGTTTGAACTGCTGACCTTCTAGTTAGCAGTCAAATGCCTTAGGCACTGTGCCACCAGAGCTCCTTGTCTGACCTATAAAACCAAAAACCAAACTCACTGCCATCAAGTCAATTTGACACATAGTGACCCCTCCGTGGGTTTTCGAGGCAGTATCTCTAAAGTAGATTGCCCAGCCTTCTTTCCAAGGAGTTAGCAGTCAAATGCCTCAGGCACTATGCCACCAGAACTCTTATGTTGTTGTTTTTATGTGCCATCAAGTTAGACCCAACTTATAGCGACCCTTCCTTGGGTTTCAGAGGAAGTATCACTATGGAAGTAGATTGCCCCATCTTCCTTCTGAGGAGTGGCTGGTGGGTTTGAACCGCCAGCCTTCTGATTAGCAGTCAAATGCCTTAGTCACTACACCACCAGAGCTCCCAGCAATAAGCTTAGATACTTGTAAAGCCAAAAAGAGAACATGTTATAATTATCGTTGTCAGAAGACTGACAATTTACGGGAACATAACAGGCTGGATGTAAAGCAATAGAGGAGCCCTCAGATCCACTCGCGGTAAAGCAGTTAATGAGACACAACAGTCATGATCTGCCACCATTGTTTCAAATACCAGCAGGATCAAAAGCCAATGCCTCTGAGTAAGTGGACTATGACTTGCTTTCTAAGGAACCAGTAGGTGGGAATATGTTCTTGAGAACCACCATGGTGAGAACAAGCCAAGCTCCTGACACACAATGGATGGGTGATCTGCCGATTGGCAGTAGCCTGGAAACCCTGGGAGAGGGCCAAGTCCAGGAATGTAGGTCAGCTTCAGGTGGAAGGGTACTGGTCCTGTCCTTGTAACATAGAAATGCTTGGCATTGAAGTTACAATAATTCCTACCTGTCTCAGATAGCTGGGTCCACAACAACTCCCTAAAAATTCTTCCCAAAGCCCTCTTGAAGAAGAGGTCTCAAGATCCCTTTGATGGTTATAGCAATGTCAGGTGAGTGATTAGAGTCCAGAGCCTTTACAAAGAAGTAACTAAGAGGCCAAAGGCAAAGGAAGAAACTAAGAGAATTCTTTATGTGTCCTTATTTCCATTCAATTTGATTCAGTGAACACTTAATGAATGGATAAATTTATGTATCACAACAGAACACTGTCTAACTTGCTTAGGATACATCATCAGTAAGGACCAATTGCTGGAGTAGGACATGATGTTTGGTGAAGCAGAGGACCAATGAGGATGAAGGAGACCCTTGATGAGATGGATTGGCAATAACAGCCACAACAATGGACTCAAACATACCAGTGATTATGAGGATGATGCAGGACTAGGCAATGGTTTATTCTGTTGTACATAAAGTCACCACGAGTCAGAGTTGACTCAGCAGCCACTAACAACAATAACAACTATGTGCAGGCAATGCTTCTAGATGTGGAAAGAGTGAAGATAAATGAAATATGGCCTCTGTCTTCAAGGGCATCATTCAGAACACAGACATGTCAGTAGATATGTTCAATGTAGTCTGATGTGATTTAAAAAGAGGGAGAAACAGACTAGATTCCCTGAGGACATGGATAGGCAACAAGTCCAAACTGAAAGATAGGAGAAGCCTTATGGAGGGAGATGCTATCCTTTTGACATGTGGGTATAAAGGATGTGTACATTAGCCAGGTGCAGAAAGGTGGGAGTTGAATTCCAGGTAGAAGGAACAGCATGATGAGGCAAGGAAGACTGAAAGTGCTTGGCAGAAC